TCTCCACATATACCAAATTTCTTGTTACATGACGTCAATGGATGGCGAAATATATGACTGGTGCAAGCATGATAATCCTGACACGGGTGTTATGTAAGAACATGACAACATATCACACTCATGGTGCACTCGCGGCCGTTTCGCTACCTTCACATATGCCAAATTTGGTATTATTTGACATCAATGGATGACGAAGGATGTATGTGACTGGTGCAAACATGATAATCACGAGGTGTGTGTCATGTCAGAACATGACTACATGCCACAATCAAGGCACCAATACATTTCGACGTGACGCGTTGCACGTGCTCGCCGGCGTTCATTTCGTTGCGTCACGCCGACGTTGCCACGCCAGGCGCTGGTCCTGCCATATACTCGCAGGCGCGCGCGGTGCTGCGTTGCTTTGACGCATGCGCGTTTGAGCGCGTCCAGCGTCTCTCCGTCACGAAAAGTGGGAGAGGCAGTGCTGTCTGGGTAACGCATCGGCGCGAAATGGATCTTGCTAGCTCCACATATACCAAATTTCTGTTACAGTGACGTCAATGGATGGCGAAATATATGACTGGTGCAAGCATGATAATCCTGACACGGGTGTTCATGTAAGAACATGACAACATATCACACTCATAGCTTGTTCGCGGGCTGTTTGCTAGCTCCACATATACCAAATTTCTTGTTACGTGACGTCAATGGATGGCGAAATATATGACTGGTGCAAGCATGATAATCCTGACACGGGTGTCATGTAAGAACATGACAACATATCACACTCATAGCTTGTTCGCGGGTGTTTTGCTAGCTCCACATATACCAAATTTCTTGTTACGTGACGTCAATGGATGGCGAAATATATGACTGGTGCAAGCATGATAATCCTGACACGGGTGTCATGTAAGAACATGACAACATATCACACTCATAGCTTGTTCGCGGGTGTTTTGCTAGCTCCACATATACCAAATTTCTTGTTACGTGACGTCAATGGATGGCGAATCATATGACTGGTGCAAGCATGATAATCCTGACACGGGTGTCATGTAAGAACATGACAACATATCACACTCATAGCTTGTTCGCGGGTGTTTTGCTAGCTCCACATATACCAAATTTCTTGTTACATGACGTCAATGGATGGCGAAATATATGACTGGTGCAAGCATGATAATCCTGACACGGGTGTCATGTAAGAACATGACAACATATCACACTCATAGCGTGTTCGCGGCTGTTTTGCTATCTCCACATATACCAAATTTCTTGTTACATGACGTCAATGGATGGCGAAATATATGACTGGTGCAAGCATGATAATCCTGACACGGGTGTCATGTAAGAACATGACAACATATCACACTCATGGCTTGTTCGCGGGTGTTTTGCTAGCTCCACATATACCAAATTTCTTGTTACGTGACGTCAATGGATGGCGAAATATATGACTGGTGCAAGCATGATAATCCTGACACGGGTGTCATGTAAGAACATGACAACATATCGCACTCATAGCGTGTTCGCGGCTGTTTGCTATCTCCACATATACCAAATTTCTTGTTACATGACGTCAATGGATGGCGAAATATATGACTGGTGCAAGCATGATAATCCTGACACGGGTGTCATGTAAGAACATGACAACATATCACACTCATGATGCACTCGCTGCCGTTTCGCTAGCTTCACATATGCCAAATTTGGTATTACGTGACATCAATGGATGACGAAGGATGTATGTGGCTGGTGCAAACATAATAATCATGAGATGTGTGTCATGTCAGAACATGACTACATGTCGCAGTCAAGGCACCAATACATTTCGACGTGACGCGTTGCGCGTGCTCGATGGCGTTCATTTCGTAGCGTCACGCCGACGTTGACACGCCAGGCGCCGGTCCTGCCATATACTCGCAGGCGCGCGCGGTGCTGCGTTGCTTTGACGCATGCGCGTTTCCGCGCGTCCAGCGTCTCTCCGTCACGAAAAGTGGGAGGCGCAGTGCTGTCTGGGTAACGCATGGACACGAAATGCAGCATGTCGCATTTGGCACCGGTTTCCGTAGGGCCGCGCCTGCGGACGCTGCTCCTGCTGGTCGTGCCTGGCGTAATACTATAAAGTGCTCGCGTTTTGCTAACGTAGCATCGCTGTACCCAGCACGCGCGTGCGTCAACGCTACATTGGAGCACATTAGGTCCTTCATGATGCGCTCGCGGCCGTTTTACTAGCTCCACATATACCAAATTTCTTGTTACATGTCGTCAATGGATGGCGAAATATATGACTGGTGCAAGTATGATAATCCTGAGACGGGTGTCATGTAAGAACATGACAACATATCACACTCATAGCGTGTTCGCGGGTGTTTCGCTAGCTCTACATATACTAATCCTGGCATCACGTGACGTGAATAGATGACAAAGGTAAACGACACATCCAAACATAATAATCATGACATGGAAGTCATGTACGGCATCATTTAACTCCACCTCGTAACGTTGTGCTAATTTTGAAGTGACATATAAACCTTTCTCATTCGTGTTTCACATATCATCGATTCCCATCGTACGTGGGATCTGCCAATTTTTTTTGTTGTGTGTGCGTGCTACTTTATGCTGAAATTTGTGTGGATTGCTAAGTTCTTAATGGGTAGCACCTTAAACAGAATAATATCAATTAGCATATTATTATGCTGTATTGCATTGAACGGACTGCGCCCTTAGTTTGACAGGCTCCATAAAGCGAACCTTAAACTTTGCTACTAACACGTGGGTACATATACCAAAATATGTTGTTCGCCAATAGCTCCATATAGTTAGGCACACAATATGTAACTTCAGCTGTTTTTGCCTGAATGCTTTCTATACCATTGGTCAACCATGCTGTTGAACCATCTGGCCTTCTGCTCCTTACAGATTTTCCACTCTGCTATTCCACTACGAACAAATGCATTGGCATACACAGAATATTTGCGAAGGAAGAACTCTTTAAGCTCGAACCACAAGTACGCGTTACAATGCGTCAGCGCGTCTACACGAAGCTGTCTCTCCCTCCATAGGGAGAGGGCATGGCGCAAGCCCACACGACGTGCGCTCACGCGTTGTGACGTGTACGTGTGGTTAGGGCTTTGTACAACTGAAGCTCCGATCCGCACTGCACCTAAATAATGGCGCAGCCAACTGGTATGCGGGACTTGCAGCGTTTACACGCCCTCCGCGTCCGCGTGGCGCAGCGAAGAAAGTTGTGTGTGTGTGGCACAGTTCGAAAGGCTAACAAAATTTGCTGTGCCTGGGGCCACATGACTTGCAGCTCTGAAAACGGTACCCAGTGTCAGGCAGCTACCTCTACTTTGTACAGTTCTTTCCAGTTTTTGCAAGTACCAGCAAACGTATGCATCTCTTTTAGCGTTATCTAAATAACCAGGGTTGTGACCATGTGACTCGAATCAATCAGTCACACCCTGTTAGGCGATTTGTTCGAACCCCGATGAGATCGTCAGTATCCGGTAGGTACGTTCCGAGCGCATCCTCCGGATTCTCGAAGAGCTCTAATCCAGTTACCGGTGGGACGACAGCCCACGACATCGGCCATTTGGAGGCCGCGTGAAGGCGCTGTCACGGGCTGCTCCAGACTCTCAGCACTGGGATGTACTGGACGGTCGCCTTCCGTCCCAGCTGATCGACCGGAAGCTGGGAGTCACGTGGCGAAGAACATTCGTCACGGACGAGGTACGAGGCCCATTGCGAGCATTTTCTTTTAATGTCATGTGCTGTCCATGTTCGTCATACACCCACATCCTCCTGTGGTAATTAGGATGCTTACCATGTTAAGCATGCAACCATGTGAGCACCCTCGCGTGCTCAGAGAAATAAGGAAATGAGGTGTTCCTTGAGGCAGATGTATTGATAGTATATATGCTCAGATTCGCGCATTTCTACGTCGTATAAAATTCTGAAATAGTAACGTTATGGCACGTTGTTGAGCAATTCACTGCAATCCCTCGATTGTTTACACGCGCGCCCGTGACATACACACAAACTTTCACAAATAATAACAATGAGCGGACTGCCGTTTGATGCCATGGTGTCGTTGTTCACATCATTTGGTACCTCGTTGTCTTACTTATATTAGTTCAATGGCAAAACAGATGCAACATATAAACTTTATTGGGACGGATGAAGGACTAAGTCGCGGTCTTGGGGCAAAATGTAATGGTCGAAGCTACTCAGCTGAGCTGCTGCTGCTTGATTCACGCGCTTTACCGAATCTGTCAACAATAAGAGACGGTTCTGGTACTTCAGGTTCCTTGGGCTTTTTTTCTATTCCAGTCGTGAAAAGAGTGCTCGTATATGTCACTATCGTACAGCCTTTGTACTGGAACAAGTATAATGTGACACACTCTGACCAATTTTCAGTTACTTTGAATAACGCGAAAAGTTCTGTTATCTTTCAACGTGATTTTTTTTAACTCATCATACAAATGCACAGTGTAGAGCGCTGGAACATAAATGTCCGGTATTTTCTAAAAATTAAGATTTGCTGGAGTAGCGCTTGTTTGTAATCTTCACCCTGTGTGTGTCTTTTGAGCGCAGTGTGATTTCAATGTATAGTTAGAAACTCACGAGGCTTTCAGTTCTATTGCGTTTTTCATTATAAGTGTAACTGCGTAAGAATTTTTATAACAACTCAACCAATAAACCATCCGTCGGTCTTTACTTGCGTGCGACTATTTTATTAACCTTTAGATAACGTACAACCTGACAGCACCTCCGATTTCGAGCACGGAACTGCATTCGCGAATGTCAGTGTTGGCGATTCAAACTGTACGGTTCGAATTCCCGCCTAATTCGTAGTCAGAGGGCAGTTTTTCGATGGCCGAACTTTCACCGCTCACCGCTGCTCTTGCATTTGGTGCTGCGATCGCTGACTGCTTTAGCGAGGCCGTCTGCTGCCTCCTCTCCCTGCGAATCCCGCTTTGCCGCACCGCCGCGTTTTTCTGCCGGCGCGGGACGACAAGAGCAGGCGCGCGAGATCAAGCCGTGCTCCGAAGGAAGGAGGCTGGCAACGAGTGTGCTCCGGCGGTGCCTGGCGAGTCGGGGGATAACGTGTATTTCATCCGGCGGGGCAGCTACGCTCGCGCGTACAGTGTTTGTGTGTGTGTGTGTTTTGTGGCTCGTAGCAGTCCACATTCCAGCGTGCGCGCCGGACACGCCGCGTCTTACATTGTTTCGTGCCAAGAGAGGGATACGACGACCAGAGGATTACTACTGCGTGCATCAGGTGGTCAGCACACTTCGGAGAGGAACACGGCGGAAACCACCGGCCGTGCTGGGACGTCAACCCCTTCTGTTTTGGCAGCTTGATTGGCCCGGTAAGCTGCCCGTTTGTTTTGATCCCGCGCTCGGGGCAACGGCGGCGTAGCGAACGTGGAGGTACTAAATCACCCACTATACGCTGCCTTTGGAACGATACGCGTTTTCACGTTTTTCTGGCATAGTTGATCTCCGAGTAGGCGCGTTTTCTTTTGGGAAATGCATGTTTGAGGTGTACGTGTGGTTCTTTCGGTTAGGCGTGTCTCGGTGTTGAAGCAAGGGGGCGTGGACAGTGCGCGGCATACTGGTGGTAGCCCGGTGGTTCAAGGAACAAAACAAAACCCAAACAAATGTAATAAAGCAAAGCTCGAGGCAAGCAAGAATCGTATCGTTTGTGTTCATTGATACCGGCTGCTAATTTTCGTAACTGTGATAGTCGTACGAGAAGTACGCTAGCTTTGACGCGCTGCTGTTTTAACCGGGCAAGCTTCGGCAAACTGTATTGAACACAGGTAACACGTGACGGTATTATTTTTTTAAGGAACCACTTCCTATATAACATGTCAGGTACGCTGTCAAAGCTTAGTGCTATGTAAACTTGCTCCCACTTGAATGGCGTTGTGTAAGTCGGCGTATCGTATCATTCGCATTTGGGGTCCCAAGCGCTCCTTTTTTCGTGTTTGATATAAATGAAGCGAAACGAGCTTACCGTAGCTTAGCCAAATGAAAAATTGGAATATTTCGTATTACTTTCTGTTGCATTCCTTCATTAGGAGGATGCTCCTATTAGAGAAAAGACACTCAAATTTTATAGCGTTCTACACGCAGTGGGGAAACGTGATAATCAGTCACAACTGCCGCAATATTTCACGAGTAGTCTGTGCCACTTTAAAGGCATGATCTAACTTTATTTCCTCTAATTTAGGGAGGCCCCTGTAGCTTGTATACAAACATACACATACAAGGTCTAGGAAATAAATTTTCAGGCTTTGGGGGCTGGTGCGTCTGTAAAGTTGGCACGCTGGCAAAGCAAAATGGTTGTATCGGTCCCGTTCCAAGAGGAAAAAAAAATTAAAAGGACTTTGATGATACTGTGTGTCATCTTCATTCTCACATCGTCTTTTGCACTGTCTTTGAACAACTCTTCGGCTTCCATGATGAACTTCTCACGAAATTCGCGAATCCTGAGCATTTCTTCTCCTTCGTTTACTGACTATTAAGACCGTGTGTAAGAATGCGTACAGAAGTAAGAGAATGCGTATCGCACCAGCTGATTATACACTTTGTCCCGTAAAACACTGGTGAACGCATCAGTCTTCCTACTGCACTCTCCTTCCCCACATTTTTTTTTTTGAGAGGAGGGAGGGAAGGGAGTTCGACAGCGGCATTCTTCAAACCGGCGTCGACGCTCGCGCGCTTGTTGCAACCCGGGTGATGTGTCGAAAGGGCATCGTGCAGTACATTTCGGATTACCTGCGGGATGTTGCAACGACATATGAGGTCGCCCGCGTGCGACATTGAGTCCGCCCTACCTGCAAGAGGAATCGGAACGGAATGCGACGCATTAGCCGTCGTACATACTCGGATGCGGAATGGCGCGTCAACCTGGTTAGATAGTGTTCGTTCATTCGCTGCATCCGCTCGCTAATTTAAATGACATTAAAGTGAAACGATAGTCTATACATTAGGGAGCTTTCGTACAGAGGCCCCCAAAGCCCTTCGCGTATGGACGCTTTGGATCAACCAGGAGCGAGGAGTTTTCGAATGCGTTCTGCGGCGCTTCGGACACTCCCCCTATTTTGTGTCACGCTCGTCTTCGCCGAGAGCCGTCACTTCAGTGGGTGCCGTCAGGTGTTTCTGACCCAAAACTTTTGGGGCAAGCAGTGGGGCTTCCGCTAAATTCGAGAAATAGCGTCCCCAAACCAAACGCGGTTTTGCGCATGCGCAGTGGCCTTGACGCTATTTCTTTGGAGCCCTACTCGAAAACTTCCTATTGACTGATAAACTATGCTCCCGTTGGTAATTTCGCCAACATAGGTTAACAGCAGATATCGATATCAGTGTCTGTAGTTTTAATATTTTATATTTCCTGTTAGTAGCTCCGATGTTGACCTCGCGTGTTTCAGAATGTCTCTCTTTGTTAAGCACAACTAACAGACACGTATCTTTAATGAGGTCCCGAGCAACACTATCTCAAGGAGGTAGAGCAGCGGGCCGCTCCAACGTCGGAACGGGTAGGCCGAGCCTCACCGTCGTGGGCCCCCTGGACAGCCCAGATTTGATGTGCAAGTCCTGAGCGCAGAGCTTCATTCCCCTTCGGTCATGTGCTGAGAATTGCGTAATGAGGGGCACTGCCAGAGCATGTATAGTCTAACGTAGATACGGCGCCACATTCTGGACATGTTGGATCAATACATTCAATAAACTGGCTGCGGGAACGAAGGCTGGATATACGACCTAGTTCGAAGCATGCGGATGGTAGATGCCTGGGCCCTACAAAGTTTCGTATGAGGAAGAGGGTAACAGACAAAAAAAATCTACGGAAAGTATAAGGCTTGTTATTTCTGGTAATTATGATGTCAGTCTGAAGAGGACAAAGTAATGTTTCTGTATTTCAGCCACAATGGCTCGAAGAAGTTTCCCGAAACTTCGTATACGATAAATCTCTGGCTCTCTCTCTCGAAAAAAAAAAATACAAACAAACATCGTACTTCATTTTTACCGATTACGAACTGTGATCAGGAGCGACGAAAAATCTATGACATTGCGGCGACTGATGCGAGAACTTCGAGGCGGCGTCGCCAGCCACTTTTTACATTTGCGCGCGTTTCTGGCTTACAAGTTACCTATAGCGTTTCTCGTAGAAGGAGTTCCGTTGAAATTGTAATCACCAATACGAGGGAAAAAGCCTACTTTCTGGCGTCCCTTCAAAGAAAGGGAGTGATGTCTTCACGATCGGTAGGCTGTTTAACGGAAGGCCCTTTATGTTGTTGCGCGTTGATTTTATCGTTCGCAACTTGAGCTATAGATCAGAATTGAACTTGTCGACCCCGGCTGGCTACCGTTTGGACCTTGAGTTGAATTACGCAAGGTGCAAACGCTCCGTGTACTTAGATTTAGGTGCACTTTAAGGAACCCCAGGTGGCAGAAATTTCTCGAACCATTAACTGTGACGTATATTATATTAATATCGGGGTTCTGGAGCAACCTCAACAATTCTTATTATTACTTTCATATCGCCTGACTTGACCAGTCGCAAGCAATCAATAGTAAACTTGATCGAAAGTACAGCGTGTGACAACCGTACAATAGAAATACAATAGAGCTTGGAAGAAGTTTGGTATGACGTAGTGGGGGGGGGGGGGGCATCTATATACTGCAACACATGCATGTTTACCGTAGAACAAAACCGAGGGCAGTGACCGTTCTGCGTTTTCTTTCGCTGTCTCCGATCTTTATCCATCAGAAACCCCGCAGCGCCCAAAGCCGCTAGAGTAGGCGGGTTACATCAATGAATGAAATACGAATTTGTTCGCAAACATGATTCTACATGACCTATTGACATTAATTTCTGTGTGGTCACGTCAGTTCCGTTCCGTTCGGATTGTATACGTGGGACCCTTTACAATATTCCGATATTATATTGTCTTCGAGAAAAATGGTTACTTTTGTTGGGAAGTCTACAGGAATGAGAAAAAGAAAATAATGGAGATATACGTGGACATTTATAAACCGTCTGGAGCTGGCCTTGTGGTTGCGTCGTCATGGGAACGCCACGTGATGTCAGTCACACTTGAATTACTTTTTTTTAGTTCCACTGCCAAAAAAAGTAAAAAGATCACTGCACGGAGTGAATGCATGAGTGAAGTGTCCGTCCGTCCGTCCGTCTTCCTGTCTGTTTGTTGGTGTGCTGTGCCGGAGATGGACTTCCTGGAACATAAGAAGCTTCGCCGCTAAAAAATACGGGCTTGATTATGGCAAAATCAATTGGTAGTATAATAACAATAATAACTGCAATAATATGAAAAGAGAACCACCTTGATGGCATGCTAGTTTGCTATTCCACATTAATCGAAAATAAATCTTTTTGTTTTGTTTTTCGGCAGACGTTAGGGGTGCGACTACGAAACTTTCTTATGCTCAGCGATACCGTTTCATTAGATGTAAAGCTTTTCAGCGGTGATTTATTGGCTTGCATATTCAGAATGCTAGCATCGCTGCACTACGTTCAAAAAGCAATACCGTGAAAAAAAGAAATTCGCAGAGTAATGGGTCGAGGAGTATCGACCCATCTTTCCGTTTCGGTGACCCCCTCTTGCTGCTATTCCGGTTGTCCCACCGCAGGTATGCCCACGCATCAAGTTTTCGTCGACCGTTGCGCTGTGAAAGTCGTTTATTGCCCATCGAATTGAGACATCGGACATGTAGAACGTCTCAGCCCTTTGAACGTCGCGCTTTTCGTCGGTTCCTATCTGGGCGTTCGTGGGTCAAGATCCGGTCTCGCAGCAGCTGTCGGGGGCTTTCGGACAAAAGTTGCAGGGCGTGTTCGCGGTTTGTAGTGGGTGGCGGGCTTATACTCGAGATGCGCACTGGTGGGCGCTGCGCGATGCCCGCCGCATACCAATTACAGCTCCCACTTACGGAAACGTCACGTGTAGTCCCTTTACGGCAGACCCCGTCCCTGGGTACATTTTTTTTTCTCTTTTTTTGCCTGCAACAACGATGGCATGTACTCGTGATATGGTTTAGGCCAGATGACAAAAACGCCGCAGTCGCCCGCCTCCCAAAAATAAAAAAAAAATCGGAAAACGAAAGGCAGAATCGCCCCTGTGGTGCAAAAGCCTGAAGTAAGCGTGGAGGTGGGCAGTCTTTTTTGTTTGTATTCGCTTTTCTCTCTTCTTCTCTCTTTCTTGTTGTTTTCTCTGGTTTTACACTCTTCCTTTCACTTCTACTTGTTTTTATTTCTTTATCCTTTTTTTGTCTCTTTCCTTTTCTCGCTTGGTTCCTTTTTCAACTTTACACGTGGTTTCTGTTGTCGAGTTTTCCTAGCCATAGTATG